AATTTTTTTTATTTGACAAATGCGCAACTTAAACGCTTCTGTGTGGATGGTCAGAGATGGTGGTGAGATGTTAACGTCCTCGCCTGGTATACAGGAGCTCATGGGTTCGATCCCGACCCTGATACCTGTATATTTGGAGTTTGCGTGTCATCTCTCTCTATCCGTGATGGCGTGGGTTTTTTTCTTACGGGTCATCCGTTTTTAAATCCTTTATATTAAGTTCGCTTGCTTGCTTGCGTGCTTGCGTGCTTGCGTGCTTGCTTGCTTGCTTACGACCGTGCAAACATTTCGGTCGTTTTTTAACCCACTTCCCGTGATCCAATCGAGCTGACATTTTTGCACGCAGACTCGTTGTGCGAGACAATTAATGTTCGTGAAAATTTTTTTCCAAAATTTTACATTGTTTAGGGAAAACAAATTAAATATTTAATTACCAATTGTTTAATACTGCAGACAATTATCTGACCCATAGGTGGCAGCCATCTCAAGCCAGAGGACGAGAGGACTCTAGCCGCCACGCATATAACGCTTTTAGAGTGAAAAACTTTGTTTTTACGGGTTATACTTATTTCTCCATTCACATTGAGAATCAACACACGTTCTAGAGTATTTGGCTGCTTTGAATGTCCACGACGACGTTGATGATGATAAGCCACTTCGTTGAGCTATCATTTGTGGCCAGGTCACTTCTGAAAAAAGGGCTAGTGGGCTTTACCTGGTCAAATAAACAATAGTTTACATATCCTGCGCAGTGCCCCTTATTTATGTATTCCCGGCTGCTCATCTTGAATTGTTGAACTGTTGAAGTCTCCTCTTTTTATACGTGCACAAAGTGAATTTTAATCGCGTTCATAATTAACGTTTTGTAAATGCGACCTTTCAAATGAAAATTGCTCAATTTTTTTACCCGAAAATTACTTTGAAAATAGTAATCATGACGTCGTCTTGAAAAACTCTCGCATCAATGTGTACGTGGAAACTCAAGAGTGGGGAGAAATTACACAGACTAATGGGGTGCGTGGGGGGCGGAGTGGGGAGAGAGTGGGGAGAGAGTGGGGAGAGAGTGTGACGCTCTTCGTTGCCTGGGCGTCGTCGAGAGTGGAGGAGAGGCAGGGAGTGGGGGGGGAGTGTGAAAGACATAGGGTGGCTGGAGAGAGTGGGGGAGGGTGGGATAGGGTTAAAATTAGGGATAGGGTTAGGGTTATTATTTAAAAAAAATTGGTTATGGCCAGGCCTTCATCAAAGTCTATGTGTTTACAGTTTAAAATAAAATGTTGGGAAAAAAAGAGAGAGTGGGGGGAGGTTGGAGAGAGTGGGGAGGGTGGAGAGAGTGGGGGGGAGGTGGAGATAGTGGGGGGAGGATGAGAGTGGGGGGAGGTTGGAGATAGTGGGGGCAGGGTGGAGATAGTGGAGGGAGGGTGGGGGGATAGGGAGCATGAGGAGGGAGTGAAGAAAGAGGCAGGGAGAGGAAATGGAGGGAGATGGGGAGGAGGCGGTAAGGGGGAGAGATAATCAGCAGAGATGGGAGGGGGGGAAGACGTGGAGTGAGCGGGGGAGGGGGAGGGGCCCGGAGGAAATGAAAGGAACATTTGGGGCTGTTTTGAGATGGGAGAGAGAGAGTTCGGGAAGGATGGGAGAGGGAGACAGTGGGGCGAGATGGACGAGAATAATGGTGAGAAAGGCGGGCGTGGTTTAGGGGGGCGAGAGAGGAAGATAGAGATGGCGGGAGAGGGGGTGGGGGTGGATATGGAGGGAATGGGGGGCAGGGAAGAGAGAGGGTGGGGAAGAGAGAGGGAGACAGAGGGAGAGAGAGACGACTTTTAAACCACTTTTATTGCCGCCAGCAGCAACAGCACTGGAGGCGATTTTGATACGAAACAGTCACCAGCTACAAATAACACAATGACACAATAAACAACACAGGCGCAGTGGCGCTAGATGCGCCGCGCACAACACGAAAGAAAAGTCACGTGGTGGTGGTGGTGGTCATCGCGCACGCCACGGTGACGAGCGAGCGCTTCAGAAGGTGAACACCACGAGGGTGCCGTCCACGCTGGTGCAGAGAGGGGCTTGTCCGGCTCCCCAGCGTTCGAAGAAGACGCGCTGCACATCACCGACACGTGTGTGGTACATGGCGTGCTCCAGCCGGAGCCGCGCCTTGAGCAGAGAGAGACAGAGACACAGAGAGAGACAGAGACACATCACCGACACGTGTGTGTGGTACATGGCGTGCTCCAGCCGGAGCCGCGCCTTGAGCAGAGAGAGACAGAGACACAGAGAGAGACAGAGACACATCACCGACACGTGTGTGTGGTACATGGCGTGCTCCAGCCGGAGCCGCGCCTTGAGCAGAGAGACAGAGACAGAGAGAGAGACAGAGACACAGAGAGAGAGACAGAGACACAGAGAGAGAGAGACAGAGACACAGAGAGAGACAGAGACACAGAGAGAGACAGAGACACATCACCGACACGTGTGTGTGGTACATGGCGTGCTCCAGCCGGAGCCGCGCCTTGAGCAGGCCCCTGAACACTGGAAGCAGCACAGAGCAGCCGTCAGTGTCACATTCCAGCATCTTTTTTCTCATCTTGTACACCGCCAACTTCGCCTGCGCACAGGTGAAGTTGGCGAGGTCATGGCGCTTGGTAGCCAGGTAAGGCACCACCCCATATACGAAGCTGCTGTTGTAGAAGGGCACCCCCAGTTTCCTGAAGATGTTCCCCAAAAGGCGGAACATTGGTTTGAGCCGCTGGCAGCGTAAGTACTGGTGGGGCAGATCCTCCCTAGCACTGCATAAAATGCAAAAGTCTGTTACCCCTGGCGAGATTCGGCTGAGCTACACGGCCGATGGCAACGTGCAGTGTGCAGACCTCCACTGGAGGTCACCGCAGCGTTTGGCTACTGGGAGACTTGTACATTTGTTTCCACTGGGGGGCGGCCGCAATGAGGGGAGAGAAATGATCTCTCCGTTTTGTGGCCGGTAGGTCGGCCAGGTCCCGGGAAAGCAGCACCTTGACGCAGCACGTGTAGAGCGCCTTGACACAGCACGTGTAGAGCGCCTTGACACAGCACGTGTAGAGCGCCTTGACACAGCACGTGTAGAGCGCCTTGACACAGCACGTGTAGAGCGCCTTGACACAGATCACGTGTAGAGCGCCTTGACACAGATCACGTGTAGAGCGCCTTGACACAGCACGTGTAGAGCGCCTTGACACAGCACGTGTAGAGCGCCTTGACACAACACGTGTAGAGCGCCTTGACACAGCACGTGTAGAGCGCCTTGACACAACACGTGTAGAGCGCCTTGACACAGCACGTGTAGAGCGCCTTGACGCAGCACGTGTAGAGCGCCTTGACGCAGCACGTGTAGAGCGCTTTGACGCAGCACGTGTAGAGCGCCTTGACACAGACCACGTGTAGAGCGCCTTGACACAGCACGTGTAGAGCGCCTTGACACAGCACGTGTAGAGCGCCTTGACACAGCACGTGTAGGGCGCCTTGACTCAGCACGTGTAGAGCGCCTTGACACAGCACGTGTAGAGCGCCTTGACACAGCCACGTGTAGAGCGCCTTGACACAGCACGTGTAGAGCACCTTGACACAGATCACGTGAAGAGCACCTTGACACAGATCACGTGTAGAGCACTGTGTTTGGGGCACTCTTCAGGGGCAAGTTCCTTCAGCCTCGGAGCTTCAGTAGCTTGCCGGAGTCGCTGTGGCCAGGAGGCTGCATGCAGGAGAAGCAAAACTCCGAGAAGGAGGAGGAGGAGTGGGGGAGGGCTGCCACCATCCCCCGGCACCTCCAGCTTCAGGCGCAGCTCCTGCATGGCGCGGAGCGACATCCCGCAGCAGCTTCTCCCCGGCGAGCGTGGAGCGGAGTCCCCTAGTGGTGCCGGCGATCTCAGCTGCCGTCTTCCACCTGGGCTGGTGGGCCTGCACGAGGTGGAAGACTGTCCGCAGCCCTGCTGATGTGAGGCGCAGAGGCAGGGTCCTCTCTCCTCTGATCCCCTGGAAGAGGCCGTTGCAGGACAAGGGCTCGTTCAGGAATCTGTGCGAGGTCGTAGGGCGCACGCGTGTTCTGCTCCACTCGAAGCTCCGCCACTGCGTACAAGAGGCTCTGGTGATAACCTGGCAGCCTCGTGTAGTCGACCAGGCTCAGGTCCATCAGGAAGAGCTCCTGACCGTACCCCAGGCACCCCCCTGCATTCGTCATCAGGGTGAGGGCCGGAGACTTCCAGAGTAGCTCCTCCCGGTGGTACATCAGCCGCCTGACGGCCATGAGCCTGAAGCTCATGACCCTGGCGGTGACGTCCACCAGACTCTGGTCACCCTCACCCACCGGCAGGCAGAGAACGCCCGGCCTGAGCCAGTGCTTCCCATGCCAAACGAAGTGTGAGAGAGAGAGAGAGAGGCGATGCCAAGCTCGCCATTTACAGGGCGAGGAAGGTGGCCCTGGATGGGAAACGTCCGGCCAGCAGCCTGGGCATCTTCCGCGCTTTGGTCGGAGCCAGGGTGTGGCTGGAGTTCCGCCATGCGGCGCGGCTGACCCACGCCGTGCCGGCCTTCAAGGAGCAGTGGGCGATGGAGGAGGTCGTGTGCTCGGTGGCAGATGATGGGGAGCTCTGCATGCTGTTATGATCTACCCATGGGGGGCTGTCGGACCGCGAGAAGGGCTGCGTGTAGAACGAGAGAGTGAGCGAGAGCGTGAGCGAGAGGTGGGGGTTTACATAAAGCAAAGTTATTATAAAAAAAAAAATTACGAAATGATGAACGAAGCAAAGTGCCGACTACACCGAGCATCTTCTTGTTTACACTGATCGTAACAAAAAAAAGAGGGTTGGGAAGAGAGGGATGGGAAGGGAGAGAGGGGAAGGGGAAGAGAGAGGGTGGAAAAGAGAGAGAGGGTGGGGGGAGAGGGAGGGGAGAGGGCGGGTCCTGGTGCTGGGAGGATGAGAGGAGGAGGAGGAGGCGGGGGGTAGGGGTGGAGTTGTGAGTGCGGATCTCGGTTGGGCGGCGTTCGTGCCACTTCGCGTTTAGAGCGCAGAGCGAAGACCCGCACGCTTACTGCTCAGAGCGACTCCGAGAGAGATCCACACACACACAGAGATTCACACACACAGAGATTCACACGTAAATTGTCACAGACAGATTTACACACACAGAGACTCACACACACAGAGATTCACACACAGAGATTCACACATAAATTGTCACACCGACTGATTTACACACACAGAGATACATTCACACAAATTCTCACAGATTCACACACACAGAGATTCACATAGAGAGAGATACAAAGATACACACTTCGAGATTCACACAGACATACACACGAGGCAACGGCACACACAGAGCCACACGGAGACAGAGAGATAACACAGAGACACATCATAGAGACTCGGAGATAGAAATACGGCGAGAGGCTTAGACATTACACATACACGCAGAGGCACCCAGAGACGTAGAGAAACACACAGAGCTACAGATACGCAAGGACACACAGGGACACGAGACAGAGAGTCGGGGACAAATACACACACAGAGACCTAGAAAGACGCGCAGACACACACACAGAGAGACACACATACACAGAGACCTAGAGATACGCGCAGACACACACAGAGACACACAGAGACCTAGAGAGACGCGCAGACACACACGAACGCACAAAGACAAATTGCACAGACGCACACGATCTATACACCGGGAGGCAAGTGCTGTTAGCAACCACCTATTATTAGACAGACACGTGGCGTGTGCAGACACACAGACACACATCGACGTACACACAACACGCACAGACACAAAAGGCACCAAGTGACGACGGCGCAGGTTACAAAAATAGACTTTGCTGAATTCGTCGAGTTTGCAACCATCGCTGCGACAAACACCACCAACGGGACGGATATTACGAATTAAATAGAGTGCGCGCACACACACACACCACACAGAGATACAGGCTGCATGCATACACATCGTGGAGTGTATTGATATCGTAGACCACACCGCACACACACACACACCCGCCGTCGCCGTGCGTGTCTTTGGTGGAGTCCTAATTGGTGAACAAAGCCAGGAATCGATTCGCTCGCTCACTCGCTCGCCCACACAAGAGTCGTCCAGCCATGGCGAGCGCGAACAACGGCAAGCAGCGTGAGGAGTCGCCTGCCCTCAAGTTTATCAGGTGAGAGAGAGAGACCGCTGACAGCCGGCGCGTTCGTTCGCGAACTCATTCGCGAACTCATTCGCGTACTCGTTCAACGCGCGCGCGCGTGCGCATTCGCTCGTTCACTCGTTCACCTACTCGCTCACGGATTCACTCTCGTTCGTATGCACTCGCTCATTTGCTAATTCGTTCTCTCTCATTTATCCATTCGCGTAACTCGACGCGCTCACCAATTCACTCACTCATTCACTCACTCGTCCATTCACTCATTCACTCACTCGTCCACTCAATCATTCACTCGCTCGTCCACTCACTCATTCACTCACTCGTCCATTCATTCACTCACTCGTCCATTCGCTCACTCATTTACTCACTCGTCCATTCACTCATTCACTCACTCGTCCATTCGCTCACTCATTCACTCACTCGTCCATTCGCTCACTCATTCACTCACTCGTCCATTCACTCACTCATTCACTCACTCGTCCATTCGCTCACTAATTCACTCACTCGTCCATTCGCTCACTCATTCACTCACTCGTCCATTCGCTCACTCATTCACTCACTCATCCATTCACTCATTCACTCACTCGTCCATTCGCTCATCCATTCACTCATTCACTCACTCGTCCATTCACTCACTCATTCACTCACTCGTCCATTCACTCACTCATTCACTCACTCGTCCATTCGCTCACTCATTCACTCACTCATTCATTGGCTCACTCACTCACTCATTCACTCGTCCATTCACTCACTCAATCACTCACTCGTCCATTCGCTCACTCGTCCATTCGCTCACTCATTCACCCAACTGCGCCTGTTTAATGCAGGTGAGAGGCTGAGATCTCATGAGACCAGCGACGTCTCAGTTGCTCGTGTGACCCGATGCTCAAGCGTGGACTCACTCATTCGCTCACCCGTTCATGTATTAGCCGTCCGGCTTGCTAGCAGCAGCAGCTGCTGCTTGAGTAACAGCAGCTGTGTGAGTAACGATCGCAGGAGTAACAGCAACACGAAAATCACGAGCAGCAGTAACAGCAGCTGCGTGAGTAAAAAACAAAATCGAAGAATCATCTTCATTTGCCCGCGGTCTTCATATACAACGAGCGGCATTGCCACTTTGTGAGCAGTCAGGCGGGCTCGTTCATCGGGGATCTACCGGACCCCGCCACCATAATGTGGAATTTCCTCCACTAAAAACGAACACAAAATCAATGCGACCTGTTCGGAGCCTCAGCTTAATTAACCCCTCTGGGGTTAATTACTCTCCCTCTGTGTGTGTGTAGTGTGTGTGTGTTGTGTGGTGTATGTGTGGTGTGTGTGTGATGTGTGTGTGGTGTATGTGTGGTGTGTGTGTGTATGGTGTGTGTGGTGTGTGTGTGGTGTGTTTGTGCGGTGTGTGTGTGGTGTGTGTGTGGTGTGTGTGGTGTGATGTGTGTGTGTGGGGTGTCTGTGTGGCGTGTGTGTGTGTGTGGTGTGTGTGTGGTGTGTGTGGCGTGTGTGTGATGTGTGTGGTGTGTGTGACGTGTGTGGTGTGTGTGTGGGATGTGATGTGTGTGGTGTGTGTGTGGGGTGTGTGTGTTGTCTGTGTGTGGTGTGTGTGTGATGTGTGTGTGTGGTGTGTGTGTGGTGTGTGTGGTGTGTGTGTGGTGTGTGTGGTGTGTGTGGTGCGTGTGTGGTGTGGTGTGTGTGTGTGTGGTGTGTATGTGGTGTGTGGTGTATGTGGTGTGTGTGGTGTGTGTGTGTGGTGTGGTGTGTGTGTGTGGTGTGTATGTGGTGTGTGGTGTATGTGGTGTGTGTGGTGTGTGTGTGTGGTGTGTGTGGTGTGTGTGTGTGGTGTGTGTGTTGTGTGTGTGCTGTGTGTGGGTGTGTGTGGTGTGTGTGTGGTGCGTGCGTGGTGTGTATGTGGTGTGTGTGTGTGGTGTGTGCATGGTGTGTGTGTGTGGTGTGCGTGGTGTGTGTGTGTGGTGTGTGTGATGTGTAGTGTGTGTGCATGGTGTGTGTGTGGTGTGTATGTGATGGTTCTGTATTGCCCGCTGCCACAAGAGTGGTGTCAGCGAGCGCCTATTAAGGCCGGCGACCTGCGCCGCGTCACCCCCCTAGGGCGACTCCGTGTGTGAAGCTGCGTCGAGCACTGCAGAGCGACACGTCCTAAGTCGGCGGTGTTTCTTCACTCATTTCTAGAGGGGGTGGGTGGGTGGGTAGGGTGGTTAGGAGGAGGGCGCCACTTTCGCCGACAAGACATCGTGAGTGCGAGTGCCGACACTACATATTAAACCAGGGGTCGGGAACCTTTTTGACTGGGAGAGCCATAAAAGCCAAATATTTCGAAATATATTTCATTGAAAGCCATATAGTATTTTTAACGTATAATAAATTAAATACGTTTTACTTTTAATGCGACTTCTGGTGCTGCATGGTTTTGCTGATGGCCTTGTGTAGTCTGGTTCATACGTGGTGAGGTTGAGCTTCATGCAGGGCGTGACCCGTGAAATGTATCTTCAAAACTAATTTCTGTTTACTTTAAAATGACACAGTATTATTAAGCAATATCACAAGTATTTTAAAATCAGTTCCAAACTGATTTTTTATTACTTTTTATTATTTTTTCAACTCAAAATTGTCTGGGAGCCATATGCCGTCACTGGAAGAGCCATATATGGCTCGCGAGCCATAGGTTCCCGACCGCTGTGTTAAACCATTGTTGGGTTTGGCAGCAGCATGATGATTATGGGTGGTGGGGGGGTGTCACTCGTTGTGTGTCGTGGGGGGGGGGGGTCACTCGTTGTGTGTCGTGGGGGGGGGGGTCACTCGTTGTGTGTCGTGGGGGGGGGGTCACTCGTTGTGGGTTGTGTCGTGGGGGGTGGGGATACACCGCACGTCAGAGGCCGCACTTGCCCCGCGCTCCTGTAAGCCTTCCCGGGGAACCTTTGTCTTGTTGTGAGCAGCGACCACGAGTTGGATTCCGACTCACGACCAACATCGAAGACGATTGTTTGCACCGGTCCTGTGCCTCCTCCCCTAGGTCGACTCGGCCTCAAATGCGCACCTGGTGCAATGTGTAAAAAAAACATCGCCGCTTGGGGAGACAAAGGCGACCGGGCGTGGTGCTGGCCACCCACCCGCTCGTGTACCGTGGCGGCCTTCATTGGTGCTCGCTAACAGCACTTGCCCCAACAGTCTGTTAAGGCTACACGGGGGACTTCGTCTTGTTGTATATTGCTCGAGCACTATACCGCTTACACAACATGCGATGCAATGAACGGGCCACGGCTAACGTCAGTGGCCCGGGAGTGAACGCCCCAGCTCCTCACCCACCCCCCCCACCTCCAACCAATCCCCTTCACGAACGCGCCGTGACCAGCGTGGTGAAGTATGGCCCAGCAACCCCCACGACGCAGCATCCTCCTGCCGATCGTGCGGGAGTACGCAGGATTCCTGCGGTACGGGATGGAGTGTAGGAGGTAGTGCAATGTGCGTTGTGCAGGGTGTACGGTCTAGGGGGTAGTGCAATATGCGTTGTGCAGGGTGTAGGGTGTAGGGGGTAGTGCAATGTGCGTTGTGCAGGGTGTACGGTCTAGGAGGTAGTGCAATATGCGTAGTGCAGGGTGTACGGTCTAGGGGGTAGTGCAATGTGCGTAGTGCAGGGTGTAGGGTGTAGGGGGTAGTGCAATGTGCGTTGTGCAGGGTGTAGGGTGTAGGGTGTGCCAATGTGCACGGTGCAGGGTGTAGGGTGTAGGGGGTAGTGCAATGTGCGTTGTGCAGGGTGTAGGGTGTGCCAATGTGCGCGGAGCGTAATGTGCATGGTGTAAGGGTGTAGGGGGGTGCAATGTCCATGGTGTGCAAAGTGCAGGGCGTACGGTGCAGGGGGTGCCAAGCGCAGGGTGTGTGCGTGATGTGCAGGGTACAGGGCGTGCACTGTTCCGGGCTCCCTTTAGGTTGACTCGGCCTAAACTGAGCACCTTGATGCGTCGTGGAAACAGCAGCGCGGGCCGGAAGGAGACGGAGGCGGCCAGCAGTGGTTCTTGCCCACGCTGTGGTTCAACAGCAGCACTTGGCCCCTAACAGTGCGCACGGCTACCCGGGGAACTTGTCTCTTTTGTATTTAATTTTGCCTGTGTGTGGTGGGTGGGGAGCGGTGGCGCAGTGGTTAGCACCCCGCGCTACGAAGCTGGGTGACCCGAGTTAGAGACCCCGCTCACGGCCACCAACACCCAGTGACGATGATCTGACCCGGCGGTCCTGGCTCTCCCCTAAGGTCGACTCAGCCTCAAACGAGTACCTGGTGCTGTAGTTGTAAACATGATCACCCCACCCCCCACCTCGTGTTGTGTGCCGTGCCAACTTTCACAGGTGCTTCTCGCCAACAGCACTTGCCCCAACAATCTGTTGAAGGCTATACGGGGCGTGGAAGGGATCTTTGCCTGTGTGTCGTTGTTGTTGCGTGCGCGTGCGTGCGCGTGCGTGATGTGTGTGGTGTGTACACACACTCGTGCGCATTGCACGGAGGAGTGCACTTAAGATGCCACGGGCAAAATTACCTGCCGGATTAATTAGCAGACGCAGATTGCATTATTCATGCGCGACGCGGCGGTGAGCGCGTAGCTACTGGACAGCCACTCACGAAAACCCCCATTTGGGAGGGCGGAGGGGGGGGCTCTACGATTTAATCATTTCAATTGAAACTCGCGGCCCAGACCACCTTGGGCCGTACGGGGTAGCTGCTTCCACCGGGGAGAGGGGGGCAGGTGGTGCCCTTCCAATGTTTGGGATGAGGATCTCAAAGTGATGGTGGCATCATTTTGTAAACCTCCCCACCCCCTCAACCCTCTCTATTGAAGACCGAAACATGAAGACGTGTTCACGATTTCGGGCTGATCGTCTGATGATGCTGCTGCTGGTGATTGCTGTTGTTGTTGTATTTACCAGCGAAACGTCGCAGTACTCGAATTAGTGGGCGCCCCTGCGGTGGCTATGAGATGTTAACTACCTCGCCTGGTCTACATGAGGTCGTG